ATTGTTGGTTTACAGTGTTGCCTTAATTTCAGGCGTAAAGCAAAGTGACTCGGTTACATATATATGTATATGCTCACCTCAGCTGCTTCAGTTACGTCTAACTCTTTGCGGCCTTATGAACTATAGCCCTCCAGGCTCCTCTATCCATGGACTTTACTCAGGCAAGAAGTGCACTGGGAAGACCCAGAGGGATGGGATGGAGAGGGAGGCGGGAGCGGGGATCGGGATGAGGAACACATGTAAATCCATGGCTGATTCATGTCAATGTATGGCACAAACCACTACAATATTATAAAGTAATTAGCCTCCAACTAATAAAAATAAATGGAAAAAAAAAAAAGTCTATCATATTTTCGAACTAAACCTTCCCTTCTTTGTACACATACCTACACACATGTACATGCAAATGTATACACATATGTGGTGGTGGTGGTGGTTTAGTCACTAAGTTGGGTCCAACTCTCGGGACCCCATGGACTGTAGCCCACCGGGCTCCTCTGTCCATGGGATTTTCTAGGTGTGTATATGTTATTTTTATTTCTAATGTACATCTCAGAGAAGGCAATGGCACCCCACTCCAGTACTTTTGCCTGGAAAATCCCATGGACGGAGAAGCCTGGTAGGCTGCAGTCCATGGGGTCGCAAAGAGTCAGACACGACTGAGCAACTTCACGTTCACTTTCCACTTTCATGCATTGGAGAAGGAAATGACAACCCACTCCAGTGTTCTCACCTGGAGAATCCCAGGGACGGGGGAGCCTGGTGGGCTGCCGTCTATGGGGTCGCACAGAGTTGGACACGACTGAAGCGACTTAGCAGCAGCAGCAGCAGTATAAATCTTAAATAGAACCTTGATCCTATTCCTGTTTGTAATCCCCTATATGAGTAACATGCTGTATGGATATGGAGCTTCCAAAATCACCATCAGCTCCATCCCAATAAAGAGCTAGCCATTTATGAAAACTATGAGCCAGACCCATTGTGGGTACTTTTCAGATGAAAGAAGTTGTGGGTTAAGTAACATGTAATGCTCGTTGACTATTTGAAGAGGTAGTGTATGTACCTTATCATGGCTAATGGCCACAGAATGGAGATTCCATTACTGAAACAGTGTGTTGGTTGGAACTAGTAAAGCAACCTCAGCTGCTTGCCAACTTGCAAATTCTTCAATGTTAAAAGGCCAAAATGCTACCACAGCATTTTTTTTCCCATCAGTTCAATTAATCACTTTTGTTAGCAAGCAGAGAATTTACATGGTCCTGATTATTGATAACTGTAGTATGATCTTAGCATAAGCATACTGAGCACAGTGAGAAACCAGCAATCAGAAATGCTAGACTCCTTCTTGGGGTGGAAGGTGTGTGATGTGGAATGTATGGCTTAGAAGTGAAAATCTTTAATGGATTAAGAAGGATTCTTATGGTTCCTGAGATGTTCCCCAAAAGTTTTTGTAATGTGATTTGTAATCCACATGTAAAAATAACAAAATGAACTTTTTAATTTGAAAATGTAAAACAAAATAATTCTATGTTCCCCCTGGGACTCTATGGTATTTATATGAAAATGACCAGAAAGCATCTATTTACCTTAAAAACTATGCACAATAACAAAGCTAACTAAAGAAGAAAATAATAATAATAATAGGTTACCAGATTAGACGGTTGTAACTATTAATTAACTTCCTTTAAAGCCAACACTGGACCATGGGAGCATCCGGGGTCTTTAGTCACCCTTACTAGCAAATTCAGTACAAGAATACATTTTAATATTTATTTCTACATAGCAAAATAAGCCATATGTTAAGGATTGGTGGCTCAGAGGTGAAGAATCTGCCTGCCAGTGCAAGAGATGCAGGAGACATGGGTTTGATCTCTGGGTTGGGAAGGTCTCCTGGAGGAGAAAATGTCAGCCCACTCCAGTATTCTCGACTGACAAATCCTATGGACAGAGGAGCCTCAGTCAGTCAGTTTGGTCACTAGTTGTGTCCAACTCTTTTGGACCCCGTGGACTACAGCATGCCAGGCTTCCCTGTCCATCATCAACTCCTGGAGCTTGCTCAAACTTATGTCCATTGAGTTGGTGATGCCATCCAACCATCTCAACCTCTGTCATCCCCTTCCCCTGCCTTTAATCTTTCCCAGCATNTATTGATATTTGTGGACTGTAGCCCACCTGAGGAATCTGGTGGGCTCCAGTCTGTAGGGTCACAGAGCTGGACACAACTGAGCACGCACGCTCAAGGACTTTGTACCTTTTTTGCCCTTTTCACCTATAAAGTTAGAATTATCTAACATAGTGACATCCTAAATTCAGAAAACAGAAGCAGTAAAAATAACTGAAATGATACGTTATATCTACTTATCCTAATATTGTCATAGTATAATTTCATTGTTTATTTAAAAAAATTGCAGTCATGGTGACCTTCTAGTCACTATATATAAGAAGTTGTGTTTTTATCTTTTAAAATACGCTTCCTCTTTGTATTCTATATATTGAGAATTACTGAACAGGACAGTGGTTGAAAATATAAGCAGAGTAGAAAGTTTCTAAAGTTAATGGATAGAAAGGCAGACTAACCTTTGAAAAAATGTTAGATTTGTGTACTATGGCTTTTTTTCTTTTCTTATTCTGCTTCATTCTAATGAGAAGATGTGAAAAAAATGAAGTGCAGTCAACTTTATATCCTTGGTATAGTTTATTATAGAATGATATTAAGCTATGATTAGTATAAGGTAAAGCCAGGATTAGGTAGGCAGGAGGGTCCAAGTGGAGACTTAAGGAGGGTGTCAGTTATTTAAATCTGATCCTTGGGTCTCTATTTCCAAACAGTGTTAATCAATGAACTACTCCATAGGACTATTGTTGTGAGAATGAGGATCCAGCTAAGGAATTTGAAAAATCTTTTGCAAACTGTAATGTACCATGTATATGCTGTCACTGTTATCAGTATTTTACTTCTTCTTTTTGTAGTGACAAAATTATTTCCTGATAGACTATGCATTTACTCCTGTAGCAGAATCCACTATATATTTAGGACCGAATAGGGAAAGATTTTATAAATGGCCACAAAAATGTCACAGGCTAATTTGCATTTTTGGTGATTCTATACAATAATTACTGAGTAACCTTCAGTTTTCCAAATAAAGAATAAAGGGAATGGTGGTGATATTTGTAATCATCTACAGAAAGGAAATTATTTAAGTGTTTCACAGATGGAGAGATATTAAGGGTAAATCATTATATCCAGATTTCTAATTTAATTTAAGAGGCTTTGAAGGTGTTTGTGGATAGTAAGAAGCAAACATTGTTGCGCATGTAGAATTAAACATAAACTTTCTATACCACAATCCTCAAAATCTCCAGGTGAATGTGGAGGGCTTTTTCAGACCCCCATCCCCTAAGAACTGAGAAATTCATAAAAGGAAAATAATGTTACGCTACATGTAATACACAAACTGAGCATACTGGAGCAACTACAGTAGTGACCTTTCAAAGAGGACAAATTAAATTCTACATGCCTCAGAATACAATGTGGCTTAAAGCTTTAGAAAAGGATAAGGCATGACACATACTACTAATTCTAGCCTCGTAGCAGCTTACTCTGTTATTTCTGAACAGGCTGCATAACTCATTTCTTCTTCAAACAACATAATTCAACCCAATATTCTCTGTAAACTAAATGTAGACCCATGCTGGGGATTTTTAGAAAATTCTAGAGATATAGGAATGCTTGTCTCATGTTACTTTAAAACAGTTTCAAGGATTGGACTATTATCAGTGGGAAACACACAAGAAAATCTGGTGCCAAATGTTCTCTGAACTTTGAGATGAATGACATATGGAATTACTCACTAAAGGTAACATACATACAGCCGTGGAAACTACAATGATATAGCTGTTTTGGCTACCAAATCTGCATACTTTCCCCCAAATTCAGATTTAAAAACTTGTTTTAAAAGTAGACCTTTGAAATGTATGAGATGTAAGTATTTTCCTTATTTTTCTTCCTCTTTATATTATCAAGTGTGAAACAGATCACCAGCCCAGGTTGGATGCATGAGATAAGTGCTCAGGGCTGGTGCACTGGGATGACCCAGAGGGATGGGATGGGGAGATAGGTGGGAGGGGGGTTCAGGATGGGGAACACATGTAAATCCATGGCTGGTTCATGTCAATGTACGGCAAAAACCACTACAATACTGTAAAGTAATGAGCCTCCAACTTATAAAAATAAATGAAAAAAAAAGCTAATAAAAAATAAATACATAAATATTTTTAAATTAATATATTCTTACTGACCCTTGGGTGTGTGAATTATAAGAGCTAAAACACAACTAAATATTAAAAACACCATTGAACCTACTATTCATAAGTGAATGCTGTTTGTCATGATCAAAATTCATTCAACTGAATTTTTTTTTTTCCCGTGTCTCCTATATCTTCTTTTTGAAATTTAGTCTGGAAAGGAGTATCTGGTTTGCCTGGTATGCTGTCACAGCTAGGGGGAAGAAATATAGAGTTAATTTTTTAAAGGCCTCTGCAATTAATGTTTACCACCTTTTATATAGCAATATAAGAGTGAAATAGACAAATGCGTTGTCAGGTAACTCGGTTTTCTCAGGCTTTCTTTCCTGAGAGGGTGGCCGAAGGTTCCTTTCTCATGCCGTCCTGGCTGAGACTGAAGAAGATGGAATAGTTGTTTGCCCCAAGGTAGCAGAGACATGGCGTGCTCTCCGCCCTCTGCCCTTGTTCAGCGGGACCTGGAGACGCGAGGACCGCCTCTCGCTAGCATCTGCTTTGTGATTAGCTCCTGTCGCCTGCCTCTTTAATTTGGGGTGACGGCCGTCTTCTGCGCCCCTACACTGCATCGCTCTTGGTCTCCGGATCCGGGCACGTGAAGGCCGGCGTGCTCCACGCCGCCTGCGCAGTCTCGGCGGGGTGACCGCCGCGGGCAGGAGCCCTGCAGAGCCCTCACGCTCCCTCTCTCCTTGGTTTCGCAGCTGGCGCCACGTACATCTTTGGGAAGAGCGGAGGCCTCATCCTCTACACCTGGCCGGCCAACGACAGGCCCAGCACGCGCTCCGACCGCCTGGCCGTGGGCTTCAGCACAACCGTGAAGGACGGCATCCTGGTGCGCATCGACAGCGCCCCGGGCCTCGGCGACTTCCTCCAGCTTCACATCGTGAGTACCGGGCTGGGGCCCGGATTCTCTTGTCTTCCTGGTGGTCTGAGTGAGTGAGCCAGATAACTGCCATGGAACATTCTAGGCTGGTGCGACACTGGAGCACGTGCTTATATCCCTGCCTCGGTGTGCTGGAGCCACACCTAAGGGGTGCTGTGTGTTAAGCCTCATTCCCTACCCCCTTGGATGTGAACCGTGATGCCCAGAGGGTGCCTCGGGAATAACGCATCCTGTCCAGACTCCTTCCTCTATTGTGCGGTTTGGCCATGAGACGTTTAGCAGACCACTTAGGTGTAAATAGGAGAAGGAAATGGCAACCCACTGCAGTCCTCTTGCCTGGAAAATTCCATGGATGGAGGAGCCTGGTGGGCTACAACCCATGGGGTCGCAAAGAGTCAGACACGACTGAGCGACTTCACTTCCACTTAGGTGTAAATAAGAGACTGACCAGGTATGGTTCATCTTCAACTGGTGCAAATGGCAAGGCCATCTTGAGTGTCAGTGATCGCCTACGTTTGGGAGTCAGCCAAGGTTTTCTCCAAAGTAGGGGTCCCCAACCTCCGCGCCACAGACTGATACCTCCCATCAGATTAGCAGCAGTATTAGATCAGAAATAAAGTGCACAACTAATGTAATGCCTTTGAATCACCCTGAAACCACCTCCACCCCCGTCCATGGAAAAATTGTCTTCCACAAAACTGCTCCCTGGTGCCAAAAAGGTTGGGGACCTCTCTGTGAAGGGCCAAATAGAAATACTTGGGGCTTTTCGGATCATGCAGTCTCTGACTAGCTACTCAACTCTGCCATTGTTAATGTGAAAGCAGCCACAGCCAATCCATCATTAAAGAAATGTGCGTGATTATATTGCAATAAAAATATGTTTATAAAAACAGACTGATGGCTGTGCTTGGGCAACCTCTGCCCAAGCCTGCAGGCTTTCTTGAAGAGATGTAAAGAACACATGGTAAAAACTGAGGCCACAGTGGGTGGGGAAGACAGAGGCAATGCAATGGCCAGGAGTTGGTGTATGCGTGTGTCTTATATATCCGATGTTTTGCTTGTATATGTAAACCCAATAGGACTGCGCCCTCACTCACTGCAGATCATTAAGAACACAGTGCAATTCAAAGAAATTAAAATGATTTGGAGGAAAAAATTACTTCGTTATGAGGATAGAAAATATTTTTATAGCAACAATTAACCCATTTTATCACCTGTGAGTCTGCAGTTAGGAAAGTAGGCTAGAGAAGGATATGATTCTCATCCATAAGTACCCAGAGTGCAGCCACCAAGAGCAAAGAGAGGAATTGCTCTCATTAGTTAGCAGTGACAAGGCTAGAAAGAATGGGTTTAATTTGGAGCAATAAGAATTCAGTTTAAATAGCAGGGGGGATAAAGCAGTTAAGAAGAAAAGGCATCTGGGGATTATCCCCAACCTCCAAAATGGAGGAGAAGGGACGTTTCTTGGTAATCTTTGAATGTGAGTTTTGCTAACGTGTGCATCTACTGAGGAAAGTGGGGTGAGATTTCCTTGCTGGGCTCTGGGGTGGTGGTGGCTGGCTGGAACCATAACCTGAAACCACCCCCACCCCCGTCCATGGAAAAATTGTCTTCCACAAAACTGCTCCCTGGTGCCAAAAAGGTTGGGGACCTCTCTGTGAAGGGCCAAATAGAAATACTTGGGGCTTTTCGGATCATGCAGTCTCTGACTAGCTACTCAACTCTGCCATTGTTAATGTGAAAGCAGCCACAGCCAATCCATCATTAAAGAAATGTGCGTGATTATATTGCAATAAAAATATGTTTATAAAAACAGACTGATGGCTGTGCTTGGGCAACCTCTGCCCAAGCCTGCAGGCTTTCTTGAAGAGATGTAAAGAACACATGGTAAAAACTGAGGCCACAGTGGGTGGGGAAGACAGAGGCAATGCAATGGCCAGGAGTTGGTGTATGCGTGTGTCTTATATATCCGATGTTTTGCTTGTATATGTAAACCCAATAGGACTGCGCCCTCACTCACTGCAGATCATTAAGAACACAGTGCAATTCAAAGAAATTAAAATGATTTGGAGGAAAAAATTACTTCGTTATGAGGATAGAAAATATTTTTATAGCAACAATTAACCCATTTTATCACCTGTGAGTCTGCAGTTAGGAAAGTAGGCTAGAGAAGGATATGATTCTCATCCATAAGTACCCAGAGTGCAGCCACCAAGAGCAAAGAGAGGAATTGCTCTCATTAGTTAGCAGTGACAAGGCTAGAAAGAATGGGTTTAATTTGGAGCAATAAGAATTCAGTTTAAATAGCAGGGGGGATAAAGCAGTTAAGAAGAAAAGGCATCTGGGGATTATCCCCAACCTCCAAAATGGAGGAGAAGGGACGTTTCTTGGTAATCTTTGAATGTGAGTTTTGCTAACGTGTGCATCTACTGAGGAAAGTGGGGTGAGATTTCCTTGCTGGGCTCTGGGGTGGTGGTGGCTGGCTGGAACCATACAGCAAGCTCAGCCCTGGAAACAGTGCGCCTCTCCAGCACCTGCTCTTCAGCAGGCCTTGGAAATAGAAGCAGCTGGAAGGAAAAGGCTTGAGCTGGAAGCCTGTCTGATCTCAGGGTGAGCCAAAACAAGCCAAGACTCTGCTCAGAAAGGCAGAGAAGCACTGGTTAGAAGCAACCGGCTTCAAAATGCAGAAGAATGGTCTTGAAGAGAGCCATGAACCTTTAACACTTCCTCGGATGCTTCAGACACCATATGGTGCTCTGAGCCTGAGCTCAAGCCTTTTAAAAAGTCATGCCAAGGAGCAGAGAGAAACACAGCCATAGTTAGTACAGTTTATCTTTATTTGGCCTCTAAGAACCACCATAATTTACAAAACTCTGTGAGATTTATGCTGCATATAACTTAATGACTATTTCATGGCAGCTATAACTAGGCTATTATTACCAGTTCACTTGCATTTTCACGGTGATTTATCTTCTTTTTTTATTCAGTGTGACTTACTAAGAAAAATATGATTTGGCACAGCCATGAGCATCCTTTTCGAGTCCAATCATGTGCTGCTGGTTTATCCATTTCTTCCCATTTGTGTTTTGCAAAGCAATTCCACTTTCAGGAGAAATATTTTCTTATTTTCTGGTAGTTTACTTGGAGTTGGCAGCATTTTTATAAAATGGATATGAGGATCCTGGGAACTCCTAGGGAGAACCAAAGCAGTCCATTTTGATCTCTTTTTTAAAAGCAAGCATACAAGAAATTTTACATCAGAATGTCCCCCTTGGGTATTGTGAACTGATTCCCATGATGTTCTCATTGCTTAAACATTCTGGAAAATTCCAACAGATTCTCCTTCAGAGCTTGGGTTAGGAAATGCCATCTGGCATTTTTTGAGAAAAGAAAAAGAGACCCTATGATGTGAAAAAACCACACCATTCTGGAATGGACCTGACATATCTCTGGCCCTCTGGAGCATGGGGACTCCTCCACTGGTGTGTTCATTTCAAATCATCTTTTATTCGCTGATGCAATATCTCTGGTGTCTGCCAGAGACAGAAAGTGTATGTGATGGTACTCCAATAAAAATGTGCTTATAAGAACAGGCTGCAGATTGTATGTTGGTGACCACTGCCCTAGACTGGGCAGACGTCCTCAGAGAGATATAAAGAACATGTGATTAAAAACTGACATCAGAATCGGCAGAGGAAAAGGAAGGTTCCTTACTCTAGTGGAGAGAAGGTCAAAGAACTTGACGAAATCCAGCCTCTTGCTTTGGACACTGAGGTAGCTGCATCAGGAAAATGAAGCCTCAGATGCCTACTAGATAATTCTGTGTGATTTTCACTATCTGTCAAACATGGATTTGTTTATTACACACAGTCTGTTTCCTTGTACTAGAGAAAATTACTCAGAAAGAAAGGAATGTAAGGGCCATTACTCAGAGCGGAAAGGGTTGGAGAGGAAGCAAAGCATTTCATTCCCCCTGCAGTGACCCTTGGAGAAGAGAACCAGTGAAAGCGATGACAGGTGTGAAGAGGACGTGAAGGCAGGGTAAATCCCAGGGCCAAGGGAAAACACAATCAAGTGGGCGTGAGCAAGAGAGGACACACTTGCCCAGAGATGGGCTCTGGCCAGGGTCGTCTGTGGGCAGAGCTGCATTCTTCGAGCGTGGGTGTTAATTGCAACAACCAAAAGTACCTTGCTGCTATTCCAGAGTGGTTGTCAAGCTAATACGTTGCACAGAAAAAGAGTATAAACTCTGAAATTAGCATGTGTTTGCACGCACACACATGCAAGAGAGAAAGAGAGACATGAAGGGAGAGATTGAGAATTTGTGTTTTGTAAACTGCTGCGAGAGGCAATTCCTAGGAATTCCTGACTTTTTGAGCAATGGTAACACAGTGTTTGGAAGAAGCCCTTTTTACCCCCAGCTTAACCTATCTGAGGGAAGAGAAAATTCTCTCCCAAGAACACTGGGGAGTCTGACGCCAGGATGAGCAACCAACCACTCTCTAAAACAAGACTTGCCTGTTGTCAAGACACCAGAGCAGGAATGCAGAGAACATCATCCTGCATGCCAGTTCTGAGTGGTGCTCCCTCCATGCAAGCTTTGCACTGGGAGGATTTGGGAGAGTAGAAGGCAAATAAAGCAAGTGGAAGTTCAGGCTCCCACCATCCTTGTCTGCCACCTGTGTGGAAGCGGGGCTGCAAGGACTGAAGCGGGCTGCCCGTTTATTCCACTTCCTCTAGGCTTCACCGCCCTTCTTCACACACTTGAAGTCTCCCATATCTCTTCCTTTGCCATCCTAAAGTCACCATACCTAAAAAACTCTTTGGGGAAGTAGGTATCTTTTTCAGCTCATGTTCCTCTGGAGGCCCTTGAGTCACTGACTAATTACTTTAGTCAGCTTCTTATGTTCCTTCCCCCACCAGGCTAAAGTCAGCTGCTCTGACAGGGTTTGAGAGCAAGTTAGTTCAGTCACTCAGTCAGATCCAACTCTTTGCGACCC